TAAACTTGTGCTCTTGTAAACAAAGCTGTATTTAGCCAATATCTTAGAATAACTTCGAAATTAGCTGATTTTTTTAGAGTGAATACCAGTATGGAAGTAGAAATGCCACATGGATCGAGACACATTTTTTTGAAAAGTGCAGCTGCCGCCAGACTTGGTGGCTGGCACAAGCCTGCAATCCCAGCCACTGGGGAGTCTGAGACAGGAGGGTTGCAAGTTCAAGGCCAGCCTGGGTCACATTATTAGACCCTGTCTCAAAATAAAATATAAAGGGGCTGGGGCTGCAGCTCAGTAATACAGCGCCCCTGGGTTCAATCCCTGGTATGATCCATGGATTGACTGACAGATAAGGTAAAAAATTCAAAGTACAGCTGTACAGGGAAACAGATAAATAGGGAGCCAGGGCAGGAGATGTGGGGTTAAAGAAGGATATTTTGAAGATGGGAGATGCTTCAAGCAAATGAATGCAATGGGGGTGAGGGGGGTCCACTCAATGAGTAGTTCATAGACCAGGCAAGGGTGGTGCATGCCTGTAGAAGCCCTGGGTTAACATAGCCCTCTCTCCACAAGAAAGGACAGGGGCTGTGGGTGGAAACAGTCAGGAAGAGTCTCTGAGGATTATGTGGCAGATGTAGGATGACTTCAGACTGTGGGAGCCTGGCTTGGAGGTGCACGCCTGTAATCCCAGTGGCTCAGGAGGCTGAGGCAGGAGGATCTCCAGTTCAAAGGCAGCCTCAGAAAAGGCAAGGTGCTAAGCAACCCAGTGAGACTCTTGTCTCTAAATACAAAATAGGGCTGGGGATGTGGCTCAGTGGCTGAGTATCCCTGAGCTCAATCCCCAGTCCAAAAAAAAAAAAAAAAAAAACCACAAACTGTGGGAAGTCCTGGCCTGGGTGCTGTGGGGATACCAGGATAGCTGGCTGAACACAGGCCTTCAGAAAGGTTGGAAACCAGCAGGCAAACTATGCCGCTTCTGGAATATTATTAAAAAGTGGTTGATTCTGTCGCTGATGTACAGCCACCTACAATCCCCCCCCCCCCCCGGGGTGGGGAGACCTGCTGGTGGAGTTTGCTGAGTCCTAGAGGTTCCCTGAGAAGACATTAGCTGGGGGAGAGGAGAATGATATTTTCGCCTGAAATTTGTACATTTTTCTCATAGGGATTAAAATTACACGTCCTGGAAGGCTTTTTAAAAATTGGAAATAAATAAAAATCCCAAGAAGAATTTATATTCCTGATGGCTTTGCTGATGGTCTTGTAAACTGTACATTTAATCAAAGGCACTCGAATGTCTTTTTTTTTTTAACTATTGAGGAGCCATTTAAATGTCAACATAAGTGATTCCCTCCCAAACAGTGCTGTTTATACATTACTTCCCCTAATAGACCATAATGATTCATAAGGAGGCATTTCGCGCCTCTAAATTGTAGGCCTATTGAAATATAAATTAAGATGATAAATAATTTGACCTTACCTGAGAGTACTAAGTATTTACATGTGTCAAATACGAAATTACCCTGAACATCGGGGTCCCTAAAAAGGCAGCCTTCCTCTCCTGGCTGAATTTAATAAATAAAACGGGTTTATACATTTCCCTGAGAGTGAGGAGGAAAAAAGGGAACACAAAAGATCGGGCTCGGGGAGCCGGTCGTCCCCGCCCTCCCGACTTCCCGGGAGACTGGAAGGGGGCGCGGAGCCCCCTCGCGGGGCGCGACCCGCGGGTGCAGGCCGCCCCCGCGCGCTCCCCTCTCCCCCTCCTTCCGCGACGCCGCTGGAGTTTCAAAACATGGAGTTTCCACAGGAACTTTGCCAGGCCGAGCTCGCAGCCCTCCCGGGTTCCCGCAGCGGGATTCGCCGAGTCGGCGGCGCCGCGCAGCCTCCCCGCCCCCACCCCCTCCGGGGAGCCGCTGACCCGGCGGCCCCCGGCAGCTCCGCCAAACCGCTCAGCGGGGTTCACCGCCCGAGCAGGCGCGGGGCCTCCGGGGCTCCGCGCCCCCGCCCGACCCTGCCTCGGCCCCGAGGGTGGCAGCCGATCACCCTCCGCGGGGCCCGAGCCGAGCCCGTCCGCTGGGCCTGTGTGTTCGCCGCCGCCGGCGCTGCCTGCTCTCGGGGCCCGGGGCTCGGCGAGCTCTCCGATCCCCCGCCGGGGGCTGAGGAGCGGGGGTCGCCGAGGCGACGAAGGCGGCGAGGCGGCGGGCAGAGGCTGGGCGCGCTGGCCGCTCGCGCCGGGGTTTTGTTTTGTTTTGAAGCCTGCGTGGGGGATGGGCAGCACCTTGCCAATGAGAAATTTCCTGTTCGCAAGACTCAGCTTGCAGAGTTTCTGTCCTGCCCTTGAACTGACAAGTGGATCTCGGCTGCGCGAGTTCCTGAGAGTCAAGCCAGCCGCGCCAGGCGCGCGGGGGTGGGGGCGGGGGCACCGGCGCCGAGGCCCCAGGAGCCCGGCTGAGCGGGGCCGACGCCTGCCCTCCCGGTTCCCGGGCGCACCCGTGAGCGCCGAGCCGAGCGGTGACTAATCTGCGGCTCCGGGCCTCTTGGCGCGCAGCCCGGGCTCGCCTCCCGCCCCCTGGTCCCTCCTCCTCCTCGGCCCCGGCGCGCAGAGCTCCGCCGGGTGAATCGCGCGGGCCAGAGCCGCTGCTGCGACCGTGTTCCCGGGAGTGTGGGAAGCGGGTCGAGGCGAGCGGCTCCAGAGCGGTCTCCAGTCGGCCTGCTCCGACCCGGGTGCCACTGTGCATGTGTTTCCTTCCCCGTAGGCACTTTGGTCAGCGTTTCCTCCACGCCGCCGAGGAGCCAGGGCGAACTGGGGCTTTTAACCCCTTCAATGCCGGCCCCACCGTGGCGGAGAGGGTGCCGCAGGGACACTGGTCGACACCGGGCGCGATCAGTTTGCTTTGGCAAGCTGGAGCCTGGAGGAGCCCGGTCGGATCCGAGGAGCTTGCCCAAGCGCAGCACACTCTCCTGGCCGCGAGGCCCGAGGCGGCTCGTTAATGTTCAAGCCCGCCCAAGGGCCGCGCAGTAACCCGACCTGCCCGGCAAGGCCAGGTGCGGGCCTGAAAGGCCCTGAGGGCGGAGGCTTCTGGAAGGGACCGGGAGGTTCTGGCGGGACCTGCCTTCACGCACCCTGTTGGCTGGCAAGCACGTGGATGCCTTCCAGCCCCTTGCGCTCGCCCTGCAGACTCGGCTCTGGCCACCGCTCCCTCCCTTGGCCTGGCCTCGCCAAGGAGTTAATGATTGATTTACTGGCTCCGCGAGGCCGGCGCCCTCCCAGCTATTTGTCCCAGCTGAGGAGTTGCTGGCGAATAGCGCAGAGGCCAAGAGAGAGCGGGGGTCTCCCAGGATGGGAGGCCGGGCTGCCGACGGGTAGGAGCGGCCACTTGATTAGCTCCCACTGGGCGGCTCTAGTCGTGTCCGGGGCGAACCCGCGGGAGGCCCGGGCCTGGGCGAAGGAAGCATTGGGAAGCACCGCATGTAAATGGGTTGGCAGCTGGTGATTAGGCCGCCCGGTTTTATGAGTCATAATGGGCCGCCCGCCTGGCCCTCAACCTGCTCCTTGTGGACCCGGCGCGCCAGGGCCCAAGCGGTGCACCGTTCCCAGCCGCGCAGAGGGGGGGGTGCTCCAGGGGGCCCTGGTCGCCGTAGGCGTTGCGCAGGATTTCCTCTCATTTCTCGTAGAAGGCAACACAAACACCCTAAATCAAACCGCTCCGACAACCGAAGGCTCCACACAGACACATCAATAAGGATTTCGCCTCCCGCGTTCGAACGCACTGAAACACTTGTCCTATTTTTATGCAAATGACACCACACAAATAGATCTCGCAGGCCCGGGAGAGGGGCGGGAGGAGGAGGGGCGCCGCCGCCCCATCCAGGGGGCGGTAAGGGAGGAGGGGGCGCCAAGCCCGCACCTTGGGGCCCGCGCCGGCTAGGGCACAGTGGGGCTGGCACTGGCCAGGCGGCCCGCCCCGCGTGCGGTGGCTCCCTGCCAGCGCCGCCAAGTCGGCCGCGTCCCCAGGCTGCCTGCAGAGGCGGATTAGGGAAGGAGCGAAGCGAGCCTGTGACTAATCGCGGGGCCTCGGACCGGAGCACCAAGGCCATGTGCGACTGACAGGATCGACACTAGCAGAGGACACGGCGACGCCTCGCTTAATTGCAGGCTTAAAAAATTGCCGCCTGAGCAGCTCTGGTGCGGAGAGCCACGGCGTGCGCGACGGTCTAGGGAGCGCGCCGCGCGTGTGGAGGGGGTGGTGGTGGTGGTGGTGGGGATCCTGCTGTCTTGCCCCGAGGGAGGGAGGTTTGGCGTCTCTGAATCTAGGGACCTGACCCTCGCCTCCCCCACTCTGCAGGGTCGCCCCACCCGATTGAGTGTGGCCGAGCTGGCCAGCAGAGTACGATCCAGCCTCCAGGGCTAGGTTTTCGATCCTTTCCCGGGTACAGTCCACGTTCCCCCTTCTCGTCCTAGATCCTATAAAGGAGGAGGCTGTGCAGTTGGGGGTGAGAGATTCCAATAAAACCTTAAAATAAAAACCACACACAAGAAATACTTTCTCTTCCCTCCTCTTCTCCACTGACTGAGATACAAAGGACCAAAGGGAAGGAGAAGCAGGCAAGTCCAGGCTGCAAGGAGCGAGGTCACCGAGTGCCCCAAACTCGGGGCTTACAGACACGCATCCTGGGCCCCGTCACCCACGGTCACAGTCCTTGTGTCCCAGACCTCCTTCCTGGAGTGCTGGAGCCTCTCGGGGAGAAGCGTCGCCGGGCGGCGGATCTGTGTGTGGGGGAGGGGAGGAAGGCGGGGTGGTGGGGAACCCAGCGAGAGAAGTTTCCACCACGCTCTGGTCCACTGCTGCCAAAATCCCCGGGCCCCTCCCCGCCCTCACCGCCTTCCGTTGCCACCACAAGTTTGGTTTAACGAGAGCTCAGGACAAAAGCAAACGTTTTCTATAGACCCCGAAAACAAAGGGGAAAGAGACGCGCGGGGCCGCAGAGAAGCGGCTGCTAGCGTAATGGTGCCAGGCCGAAAGCAGAGCATTAGAACTGCAAAAGCCGCGCGGGCGGGAGGAAGTGCGAGGCGGGAGGCGGGAGAGCGGGGAGAGCGGGGAGGGCGGGCGGGGGAGGGGCGCTGCGCCATGTTTCCGTGTCACCCGCCGAGTCGCCGGCGCTGGGCTCGGCCGCCGGCTCCCGCCTGCCTCCGTAACAGCAGAAAGCGTGCGATTAGCAGCCAGACAGGCGGGGACTCCGGGCCCGCGGGGCCACCGCACACGCCGCCCGCGGCCCGGGCCCGCGCCCCCCGCCCGCCGGGTAATCATCCTCCTCGCTGCAGCGCTGTGTGCACTCTCATTAGAGCAGGGAGGCTTTTCTCTGCGCACTCGCTCGACTCCCGCTGGCAAAACAACGCCTTCCCCGGCCGGGCCCTGGGCCAGGAGAGTCGGGGAGGGCGGGACGCGGGGGGGGGCAGGGCCAGCCGCGCAGGTTAGCTGGACCGCCCGGGCTCGTCAGGGCACGGAGGGGATGGGGGGTCCATCTGTCCTCCCCCACGCTCAGTGGCAAAGTCGAAGCCCAGTACCAGACTCTATGTCCCTATGGGGACGGGGGGGGGGTGCTGGTGCCGCCTTGACCTACTCCCGTTCCCCGCCCGTGGCTCGAGGGGGGCCGAAGGGCAGATGAGTGTCTGGTTGGGGGAGCGGGGACTGACACTGGGAAGGCTCCCCAAACAGGTTTTCCCCCATCTGTCTTGCAGACGACCTCTTAAGGCCAGAAGCCGGATCCCAGGGTGGTGGCCCTTCGACCCTCGAAAGGAGACCCGGGTCGTCGGCAGGCCTTCTGGCTTTGGGCTTGATCGCCCAGAGAGGGTGGGAGATGGGGGTGGCCGAGGACCCCGCTGCTCCTGGCCCCGAGCTTCGGAGCCCCATTTTCTTCTCCGCGATCTTTGCACACAACAGTAAGGCAGCCTCTCCCGGCACCACGCGCCCAGCTGCAGGGCCCGGGAGCAGGTGTTCTTGCCCGGCCGGAGTGGCGGCTCCGCGCCCCTCCGGTCCCAGCTGCGGGGCTGGAGAGGGGGGGCGGGGGCGTGCTTCTGGCGGTGGCTGAGGAACGTCTCGCCGGACCGCGAGGAGGGTCCTCTGGCTTAAATGGGGGATACCCCAGGGCGCGGACTGTCTGCCTGTGGCGAGGAGGGAGCAGGGGTGACGTGCGGCCAGCCCTCGTCTGCAACAGCCCTGGGGGCCCGCGGAGGCCTCTCAGGGCGGCGCGAGGGCTTCCGGCCCCCGTGACGGCGGCGGCGGGGCGGCCGGGAAGTTCCCGGGGCGGCCGCGAGGAGCACCCTCCACTGGCTGCTGCCGCCGCACAGCTCTCGGAGCGGCGTCCTGGGAGCCTCTGGGTGTCTGGCTACGCGGCTGTCGGCTTGCGCGGGGATGGTGGCCGCGGGGTGGTCCCGGCCCAGCCCCCAGCGGGGAGGCGGGGGCCAGGGACCCCGCAGGAGCGGCCGCGCGCCTCCCAACCCCCCTCCTCGCCACCGCCGCCGCCGCTGATATGGCGGGCACGTGAAGCGCAGCTCGGCGCCCCGGCGCCAGCCAGGGAGCGGCCTGCCCCGCCGGCTCAGCTTACCCGCGGGTCCAGGAACGCGGAACCGAGCCTGGCCCGGCCCCGCGCCCCTGCCCCCTGCTTGACGCGGCCACGCACCCCCACCCCGCCCGCGCCTGGCCTTGGGGCCGCGCCAGACGGCTTGCCCGAGGGGAACTCGGGCTGACTAATGGGACGCGTGTGGGCCTTACGTGAGGCCCGGCTGTCAGCGGATGCCCGCTCGCTCGGCGCTTACGCCGCGGCCAGGCTTTTCGGGGAAGGGCTAGAGGAGGGGTTTCCCCGCTCGGCGGTTTCGGCTCCCCGGGGACGGTCCGTCTGTGGCTGGCCCCGGACTCTGGGTCTTGCAGCCTGGCCGGAGGGAGCAGACTCGCTGCACGCCCGGCTCCAAGGATGGCACCCGAGATGGGGACCGAGGGGGCGGGTTGGAGCCTCAAGACTCTGAGCCGAAGGTGGGCAGAGAGGCTGGGTCAGCTTGGTTTGGGGGCAGGCCCTTCTTGATGTCTGCAATCTGGGGCCAGCAGCTGAGCTGGGGGGAATTCGCAGGCCGCCCTGCGGGCCTGGAGTTCGGTACTGAAACCTTCCTCAACAAATACAGAGTCTTCCGGAAACCCCTTCGTGAGATTCCTGTGCGGGGGGGGGGGGGGGGGGGGGATTTCTTAAAACTCCCGGAGAGTCCAGTTCGGCTAGAGTTGTCGGATTCTGGGGCGTGTGATGCCTTTTCCTCCCTTTACAGGGGCCTGTAAAAATCAGCAGAGTTTCTTATTATTTCACATTAACAACCACCTCATGTTGACATAGTTATATGACCCTCCCAAATATAACTACCTACTCAGTTTCAACACAGAAGCGCGATGGCGAAACAAACATGGACCAGTAACTAAGAGAAGGAAAACGCGGCTTCGAGCTTGGGTTGGATGCAGGATAAATCCTCATCACGCATCCCTGGTTTTATTCAGCCTAATTACACTAGTAATCCTGCCCCCCACGAGAAAGCCTGAAACCCTGCAGTAGAGGTGCGACTTTTCCTGGGGAGCCTCGCCAGTGGGGCGGGGGTAGCTGATGGAGGGGAGGTGGGTTTTAAATGTCACTTCCAAATGAAAATGCTTTCCTTCAGCCTTTTTCTTTTTTTGATGCAGTTTTCGAAAAGGAGCATTTTGGCGAGATAAGAAGTGACCGATCAAAATCGCTGAGGGGAGGTTGTAAGCAGCCGCTTTGCCCCAGCTTAGCCTTATCTTATCTTTCACACTTGCATGGCGGAAAAAAAATTGGCTTATCTTTATCCCCACCCCCTTCTCGCCTTAATTGCTAAAAAACACTGGTGTGTTAAACGGGCAGGAAGGAGGTCCCTGGATTGTCAGTAGAAAAGGAAGATTCAAAAATGGGGGCTCCTGGGGGGAAGGGAGGATGGCAAGGTTTATTCTTTCCCCCGGGGCTTTCTAGAACAGCACAGAGAGTCCAGTCGAGGCTGGAAGGCCCCATGGCCAGAGTTTTTTTTTAGGAAAAAAAAACAACACAGGATGGCCTTGGTTCCAGCGGCTTCTCCAGGCCTCGCTTTCTCAGCACTGCCTTTACCAACCTCTCAAAAAGCCGGCGGAGGGTCTCGGGTTGAGGTCTTCCTGCCTCCACCCCTCCTCCTCTATACACTTTCCCCTTTTGGGGAGGGGGGATGCAAGGCTGGGGCGCATAGCCTGCTGGAAATCATTAAAATATATGCGAGTGTCTGCAAACACACACTTTTAAATCATGGCGTTTCCCCTCCACGCTGGTATATTTAAACTCCAGAGCGAGCTGGATCTCCTCCCTCTCAGTCGTTTGTCTGTGTCACCGACAGGCCGCTAATGGCCGGGCTTCCAGGCGCTGTGCATTATGCATTAGCCTCCTCCCTCCGCCGCACACAGAAGGTTCTGTCAGGCCTCGCAACAGAAACCACCCTGCAGCCCCACCGCTGCTAAGGCGCTGGAGAAGCAGGGATGGGGAGGCTGGGGGGCGGAGGCAGAACTGAGTGGCCCGGGAGGTGGAATGGGAGGGGGTAGAGTGTGCTGCAGATTAAGTTCTTTGGAATCCCCAGCTCTGCACGAGCCCAGAGGTCTGCTCCTGGCTGCGACCTTCCCAAGGCAACCACCCTGTGCCACTCACCTCTGTGCCCGGCTTTGGAGGGAGGCGGGTGAGCTCCGAGGTGTTTAGAGACAGATCAGCACCGGGTTTCCATCTGCTGGCCCTCCCTTCCCCCCCTGCAGTGGGCGAGGGGCAGACTGAGCCTTCCAAACCTCTCCCCCCCACATACACCCCAGTCCCCGGGTAGTGCCCAAGAAGGGCCCGGGGTGGTGAGCCTCCGCAGGGACCCCGAGGAAGTGGAGGAGGGAAGCTGGATACAAAATGGCTGGGGCTGGAGGCCGGCTAGCTGAGTCCCAGGGCGAGTAGTTGACGGTTCCCCACCCCCTCTCCCTGCGGTTCCCACTCACTGCCCCCAGCCGCGTAAAATATGCGCAGGAGGCGCCTTGCTAAATAAGCACCCGCGCAGGACGGGTCGTGGCTCCGGGTTTATCTGCAGGAGCATCCGGCCTGCAAGGCGGCTTCGAAGGCTCTTAAACTTAGGACAGGCCATGCAGGAGACAGGGCCTCCCAGAAGCCTCCTGTTTTTCTGCCCATTCAGGTGGCACCCAACCACCCTGCAGGCCCCACTGTGTAGACATGCCTGAGTCCCAGGAGCTCAGGTCATGACACAAATCCAATCCAGACAGTTCCTGTGAACCAGGAACTCTTTGGCCCTTCTTCCCCCAAACACTCAAGGACCCTCCAAGGGCCAGGCAGAAGAAAGAGCAGCCATCTTTAACATGGTGAACCCCAAGTTCAGCAGTGCTCTGCCCTGGAAGCAGCCACCTTCAGATGATTCGTGATTAGTTAAATCCCTGGGACAAGGATGGGAAGCAGGATATATGCTCTGTGCTTGGAAGGGTGAGCCAGTGTATCTTTAAAGTACCATTGGATAAGCCCAGAGTTCTTTTACAAAATGACCAGATGACTGTAGGTGTGAGTGTTTTGGGTGTTTTTAAACAGTAACAGGCTACCTCACAGTTTGTAAAGTAAAAAACAAATTATACCCATTCAAATGCCAAAAGTTCCCATTACTCCAATATGGAGTGTCATAGGCCAGAGAACAGCCTCAGAGGAGGGCAGTCAGAGGCCTAGAGAGCTTTTAGGATGTCTATTCTACTTTGTTACAAATATGCCCCTCAACAATGTTGGGAGCCCAGGGTGCCCCCCCCAAACACTGGCTAGGACCTCAACACAGGATTCCTGGCCTTTCCCCCAAGCCTGGGCATGGCTGAAGGTGTGAAAGAGGCCCTGGCACATCTTGCACAGTCACCCGACCTGCAAAGGGCAGCAAGGCCTGTGGCCAGAAGCTCCAAGTTGCTTGCCCAGTTGCAGAACCTGGAGTAGCAGAGCGGCCGGGGCCTGAGGTCCAGCCATATGTTATAACCACAGGACCCTTTCATGGGGATGGGGCTGGTTGAGGAGGGGCAGCCCCCCCCCCTCAGCACCTCTCATTTCTGTGCTTATTTCTTTATTTCTCCACTGGCTACATGGCCTCCCCTCCCTTGCACTCCCTCTCTGCCTCCTCCTCTGCTTTTATTGAAATCCTCCCCTCTCTGAGTGCCTGGTATAGCGGCCTGACCCCCAGGTCAGCTCCCGAGGGGCTCGTGGGAGGGCAGAGGAGGAGGGAGCAGGGAAAGGGCCAGACGCCCGCACACACTGCAGGCCGAGTCCCCAGCTCCTGCAACCTCTTCCTGAGAGGGGCCATAAGATCTTTCTTGCTGCCTCTATTTCCCAGAACAATTCCAACTAACCAGGCCAATAGGTGTAATCCTGCCCCCCCCCCTTTTCCTTCGCCTTAGGGCGCCTCAGGAAAATCCCACGTTTTAATTCCCAGTGAGTCAATCCCCCCTCTCATGCCTCTTAGGACTCCTTTAATACGATATTTTTAAAATCCCATGGAGTTGGAAAATGTATCCCTAAGAGATGGAGAAGAAGCCCTTCAATCCCACCAGCCCATCCTGCAATATACCATGGAGGGGAGAGTCCTTGCAAAAGGAGGGCGTGAGGGGTGAATGCTGCAAATTAAGTCAAAGGCAAATTTACTGGCCTGTTTGTCTACAGCATCAAATTTCTTCTGCAGTCAGCCCTCACCACGGGCCCCTTTGCATTTACAGCACCCCCCTCCATTCATTTTAACTCTAGGACTTAAAGTTAGACAAACAGGCCCCTTTGTCAGCAGCCCCGGGAGGCCACAGGAGTCCGAGAAGCAGCAAGCTCCGTGGTCAGCTCCTGGATTTTCCAAAAGTTCTGGACTGTTATATGCCACTAGAAACTCCGGGAAAAGCCTGTGCCTGGGGGGAGAGTTGGGGAGATGAGGGGAGGGGAGAGAAGGTGGCCAGGCACTGGGCCAGGGCCTCTGTGGTGCGGCCTAACCCAGCCGGAAGGGCCTGGCACCGCTCCGCACTCGCACAGGCCAGCTCTCCCGCCCAGCCCACAGCAGCCCAGCGGCCTTTTCGCCTGGAACCGCATACACAGAGTTCCCCCACAAATCCCCAATGCCAGCCTTCCCAGTTATTTTAGACTTGTTTTGAATAAAAGGAGTCGCTTCAAAAAGAAATGTTGCTACAACACACAACTAGCGGCCTTTTCTCCAGCTGTGTCTCTAACTCGCATGCGTTCAGTCTAATAACTTTTAATGTCTGGCCCTAAAATGTCTTTATAAAAAATAGCTTTACAGCATAATAGTCCAGGTGTCTTTCTGCTTGTTACTGGAGATTAAAAAAATGTGTGGGTTAGCTTTCAGAGATGTCCACCCCAGAAAGACCAGGAAGAAAAAGACATGCATTCCATTCTGCAGGCGCGGGTCCTGGAAGCGCTCGCTCGCGGCCCAGCTCAACTGGGCACTGCTCGCAGGGGCCCTTCCCCGCCTGCCTTTTGCATCAGTTGTTACAAGCAGCTCTGGAGCATGAAGATTTAATTCTGCCCAAGTTTCGGGTTTCAAACGGTAGAGATGTTTCACTTCTGCTTTGAGAATGGCTGTTTTTTATAACTATGTGATGAGAACTAAAACAGAATGAATAAAATCGCACCCAATATCAGTCCCAGTCAATAGTCTCATTTTTAAAAGGGAAAATATCTGCTAGCTAGAGCTGATTTTGGCCTTGACCTTGACTTAGTAATCAACTTGAGATGCTTTTGATTATTTTTGGCATGGGGACACTCCAGGATATTTAAAAACTTTCCGTGTGGATTTACAAACCACCTCCATTTCGGATTTATGTTCTCATCAAGCCTGCACCATCTTGTCCTTAGGCAGAACAGACACCCCACCCCCTTCCCAGCATAAAAGACCCTTGTGAGCAGCCCAACGGGGGTCACCTTTGGCCTCGACGTCCGCGCCCCCAGTCTGGGAACAGTTAGGCCGGAACACCCCTCCCCCACTCTCACCCCTTCCCGCCAGCTTTGTGAACTGGGGCTCCCGCTCGCCCTTGAGGTTCTGCGCTCCGGGTAGGCGGGAACCTTGCTTCTCCTCTTTTCCCCCCACGCCCGCCTGCCCCCACCTCCCCACCCCACCCGCGCTCAGCGCCGCGCTGGGTGCGCTGGAGAAGCTCAATACGTGTCAATTGAATTGAACTGCTGCGGGTGCAGGCTGTACGCCGCCACCGAGCACCGATCAGCACGACGTTACCGAGTGGAAATTTATGGGGCGAACGCTGTAAGCCAAAAGTTGCTCCCTGCCAAGGAAAATAAAACGCGGGAGATAATCTCTCGGAGCCAGGGTGAGGGACCAGGGCAGACCCTCCAACCATCTGAGGTGCAGACCGTGAAATGCCGAAAAAACGGGAAAAATTCTGTCGGATCTCCGCTCCCCTATTCCTCCTCCGCCTCCTGGTGTCCCCAAGAGCTGCTCCCTGCGCCTCCCCTGCCCCCCCCTCTTAACAATTCCCACACAATTGAAACGTCCGGGGAACTCGGCCGCGGAGTTAGGGCGGAACAGCCACTGTTGCCCCGGGTGGTGTTTTCAGGTAGCTCAGGACACCAAAATGGGAAGGAGCTCCTTCGGGAAGAAGGGGCGATCTGGGGTGGGGGTGGGCGCAGACGCGCACTGCTAGGCTCTGCTGGGTTTCGGAGGGGACGCGAGGCCGAGAGAGCGCTGCACTGGT